ATATATAAAAAAAACATAAGATCGTGCATTGTGCGATTTGTTGTGAATGTAACTCAAGGAATTAATCTTACAGAGCTTATGCCACTGCGACACATGTATTAATTAATCAATTTTATTTAATTAATATTTTGATAATTACCGTGGCAAAGTCTACACAAAACTGTATAAAATTCTTCCATTTAACTTAACAAATTCTACCTGCACGCGGAAAAAGGATTAAAGAAGCTAACTGTGACGACTAAAATGTGTGATAGAGACAGCTAAAGTCGTTATTACGAATATGTAGTAAGAAATAGTAGTCAAATTTGTTAGCTATTTGAGCTACGGAAAAAAAAATATTCGCTGCTAGATAGCAAATTCCCATTATTATAATGTCGCTTTTTTTAGTTGCACTTTGTACATATCAAAAATATAAAACTGACATTTCATATAATAAATCCAAATCAAGATTTTTCATTATAGTTTTTAGCCTAGATTAACCCTTATAGTGCCGAACAATGATATATCGTTGTTAGCAACACTTGCGAAAAGTGCCAACGACGTTATATCGTTGCGCATACGATGCTGCCGAACTATCCGCGTCGCGAGAAAACTCTATCTCAAAATTACGAAAAAATACAACACGATTGAAAGTCCAAGCGTTCAAGCTTTCCAACAAAATTAATTTTGTATACACTCGATTCAATATGTGAATTATTAATTAATTAATTAATTTATTAAAAACCAAAATTTTATAAGACGTTGATGGTTAAATTTCTCTTCAGAAATGGTATTTTACGCTTAGGTACATTTTTTTCGGCCGGCACTAAAAGGGTTAATGTTCACTTTAACGAGAAGACAAAAACTGATGTCTTTTGTACTTACATGATGTTGATCCTTACATCGCAGGAGGACGATTTCACGTTTACCGGGAGCGCTGTAATTTCCCCTTTCCGACGATCCTTGTTTCAAGTCGCTACGACGTCCACAAGTGGAATTATTCACGATTGTATCGATCCGCGTTCTAGATCGTTCGGCGTAATCGCTATAGCGAGGCGCGACGCGACGCGAGAATGGAATGCGGAAGGCGACTGACCTTGCCCATGTACGCTACAGCACGCCCCATTCTACTCCCCCCCCCCCCCC